CCCCAACGAGCCAGTGTCCATGCCCTGGGGCTGTGGCTGGGGATCCCCCCGATGAGCCAGTGTCCATGCTCTGGGAGCTCAGTGAGGGCAGCAGAAGGATGTTGTGGTGCCCAAGTGTCTGGTCCTCCCTGGTTGGGCCCCCGTACCCTGGGTATCGGACCCTCCCCCCTGTCACTTTGGGGGCAGGAGGAGGGCGGGCTGGTCCCCAGAAGGGAGGCTTTGGTGATGGGATTGCACAGAGAGAACAAGGGCAGATCCGAGATGTCCCACAGAAGATGTTCAGGGAAGACGTCCCGGCACCCCTGACGACATTTCCTACCCCCAGCCAGAGCCCCCCGCCACGGCCACGGCCCTGATCATTAACGGGCCTCCCCCTCACCGCAGTCCCAGCCTCAGGGTCCAGAGGGAGCCTCTGGGCTGGCGGCAGGTCAGTGTCTTTAATTCACCAGGATTTATCTGGAGATCCTCCGGGGCACTTGTCCATCAGTGCCCCTGGGGGGAGCTTAAAACCCCACGCATGGGCAGCAGGTGGCAGCAGAGGGAAGCACTGGGCCCAGATGTGTGAGGTGATTGGCCTCTGGGGCGGCCAAGACCGGTCACGTCATTTCTCAGTGGGGAACTTCCACATCCTCAACTGGGGCCGGTTTGCTCCCATGCTGGGAGGTGGCATCTGTGGGAAGGGGGCGTGCGGATGGGAACAGCTCAGCACCTGACCACCAGCCCCCAAATTGAGGCCGGGGGGGGGGGCGCCCTGCTGCTGGAATCTTGCCTTGATGACCCCCACCCCCACCATAAAGCAAATCCCCCAGTCTTAGGTGCCATCCCCAAGGCCTCCTCAAGCGCTTGCGCACATCGAGAATGGCCCCCAGAGATGGGAGCCCCGTGAGTGCTGGCCCCCAGCCCGCTTTGCCTAAGGGAGGGGCTGGCACAGTGCCCTCTAGCTGTCGAGGACGGACGTCCCACCCCGGCCCCCTTTCTGGACAGCAGGGCGAGGGATGATTTTTCTGTTTTAATTGAGCTGAAATCCACTGTCTCAGTCTCCCGGTGCTGCTGTAACAGAAACACCACAATTGGGTGGCTGTGAGAAACAGAAATTTATATTCTCAGGGTTCAGGAGGCTGGAAATCTGGTGCAGTGGTTAAGAGCTTGGCTGCTAACCAAAAGGTCAGCAGTTCGAATCCACCAGCCACTGCTTGGAAACCTTATGGGGCAGTTTGACTCGACAGCAATGGGTTTTTCTCTAGGGGAAGGCTCTTTCTGTTGGCTCTGGGGGAAGGTCTTTGTCTCTTTTCAGCTTCTGTTCCTTGGTTCCTTGGGGATCTCCACATGGCAGCTCTTCTCCCTTCTGAGCTTGCTGGCTTCTGTGCCTTCTCTGCTGGTAGATCTCAGATGTGACTGGCTTAACACACACCGTCCATAATGCCACCTCGTTAGCATTGCAGAGAAAACCTGTTCCCAAACGAGTTCACACCCACAGGCCCAGGGGTGAGGACTTACAGCACGTTTTGGGGGGACACTGTTCAACCCCTAACACTCACCTCACCTGAGACCCACCGTGTCACCATCCTAACGCATACAGTCCTGTTTTTAGCAGATTCACAGGGCTGTGCAGCCGTCGCTGCTGATCTCAGGACATTCTCATCACCCCAGAGAACAGCGCCGCACCCCTTAGCGGCCATCCTCCGTCCCTACCTAACGGCTAATCTGCTTTCTGCCTCTGAGGGTCTGCCAGGTGTGTTCGTGTTAGCCCCGCCCTGACGGTGGGGTCATGCAGGGAGCAGACCCTCACCCATCATGTGACCTGGAGCCCGCTTCCAGAACTCTCCACCCTGTTGGCAGCTGTACACATTTTCCAAATTGCTGCGGGCACAGGGTCCCCCAACTGCTGGCCATAAAGTGCTAGTCTGTAAATTGCCCTGTGAGGCCAGAGGGCAGCGGCTTCCCTAGTGACCCCTGCCACCGCCACTGCTCACAAGGGTCAGAAAGCTCACCGGAGTCCCATCCCCAGGCGCAGTGCTCAGACTGGTGGTGAGGACAGGTTTTCCAGGGGCAGGTGACCCCGAACCGCCAGCCAGCAAGTAAGACAAGGGTTCCGTCAGAGCCTGCCTCGGCGGCAGCGAGTCCAGGTCCATTACAAAGCGGGGGTCTTGGTCTCCTAGTGCTTCTGTAACCAAAATACCACCAGTGGGTGGCTTTGAAGAACCCCAAAAAACAAACCAAACCCATTGCCATCCATAGCAACCCTATAGGACAGAGTAGAACCGCCCCATAGGATTTCTATGGCTGTAATCTTTATGGATGTAGACTGCCACATCTTTCTCCACAGAGCGGCTGGTGGGGTTGAACCACTGACCTTTTGGTTAGCAGCCCAGCGCTTAGCCACTGTGCCACCAGGGCTCCCTTTGAAGAACAGAAGTCCAAATTCAGGGCACTGGCTCGCTCTCCATTGGCTCTGGGGGAAGGTCTTTGTCCCCTTCAGCTCCTGTAGCTCCATTGTTCCTTGGTGATCTCCACATTGCGTCTGTCTTCCTGTCTGCTTCCTTTTCTCTGGGTCTGTGCTGCTCCTTATAGCTCAGAAGTGATTCGGTTTGAGGCCCACGTTACACTGGTACGGCCTTGTAACAAAGAAGATCCCAAACAGGATCACATGCACGGGTGTAGGGGTTAGGATTTATCACACATACTTTGGGGGGACACAGTTCAGTCCATAACAGGGGGCATGGAAGCATCTCTGTTCCCCTCTGTGGGCATCTCTATCTCGAAGGTTCTCGAGTAATCCAGGAACTGGGCACGATCTGGGCTCACTGGGTTTACTTCTCAGGGAAGAGTAAAGTCATAATCTTTTTTGGAGTTCTTTGAAGGGTCTCCCCTGATAGCACCTGGAATCCAGTTCTGCCTCCTTCCCCTCTGCCCCCACCTGACTCTTCCCGTTGACTCTGATCTTCGCAAGAAAGTCTGTTGTTTTAACAGCTTTTACAATTTGTTAAACACATCTTCGTATAACCTTTTCCAGTTTGTGTATTCCCTTGGGGGCTTTGCCTATAAGTAAACATCTTCCCTGAGTTAAAAGTATAGCATGGAATCTCATGATCTGCTTTTTAAAATCATTATCATTCTGGAGGAAGATGGAGAATAAGTAGGAAGTCATGATTTCCCCCCTTGTTCCTGGAAGACTCTCAGAGCTGGGACTGAGCAGACTGGCATCACCTATTCAGCCGCCAAACTATCACTTCCTCGACCAGCCTCTTGTTCTGGAGTAGTGAGGTTTTCCCAACCTTGCTGTCATATAACATGGCAGGGAATGCCCTCAAGCATCTAGATTTTTTACATTTGTTGATGAACTCTCTACAGTAGGTTTCCAAGGCCGGAGTTCCTGGGCCTAAGGTGGCACTGAGGGTCTTCGTCTTTATTTCCAGGTTGTGTTCCAGAAGCTTTGTTCTGGTGTCTGATCAGCCATATAAGGCAGGGGTCAGCACACTACAGCCTGAGGGCCAGACACCGGCTTTTTGTCAATAAAGTTTTATTGGCACCTGGCCACGCCCCCTCACTGACTTATTTTCTCTGGCTGCTTTAAGCTACAACAGCAGAGTTGGGTCTTGGTGATAGACAGCATCTGGCCTGCAAGGCCTCAAATATTTGCCCTCTGGCCCTCTACAGAGGAAGCTGGCTGACCCCTGGTCTACGGCGTGCAGTTGTCCGCTTTTTCTAAATTTTGTGTGTTGTTTCTGTCACCTCGCACGCGACCGTCTGCTGGCATCTCACCTGCTGTCCTCTCGTTCCCCACAGAAGGAAATGACCATGCGAATGTGCCACTGAGTGCCCCGACCACCCCCGGGCCTGTCCACCACCACGGAGGTGCCATGTGGACCCGCACATGCTCGGATGATGACGGTTTTGGACGTCCACGTCTGTTTTTCTAACCCAAGCGCCTCAGTGGACTTGGCCTCCATTGTAGCCCGGACATCCTCGACTGGGCCACTGCATTTCCGTCTCCCTCCTGTTCTCAAGTGGCCGCCGCGGGTCCCAGCCTTCCTGAGCCTCGGTCTCCTCATCATTCCCACGAGGAGGTGGAACTTGAACCCTCACCCTGTGTGTCCTCTGACAGTAAATGGAAAAACCCACTTTGCTTTTAAACCACTTGCTTTCGCCAGGAGGCTGGAGAGCTTCCCCAGAGTTGCTTCCAGCACGTGGTCTCGCCCTCTGGGAAGTTCCGCCCCAAACCCTCCCCGTCCCGCCTAGACCTGCACTGGGGCGTGGGGGGTGGGGGCAGGAGGAGGGCTTGGTGCAGCCTGGCTCCGCGGCTGGTGCCCCCCTCCCCAGAGACCCCTGGCCTAGGAGAGGGGGAACACGGGGCCCCTCTGAGCCACGAGAGGTACGACTGGGACCCCGCTTCCTTCCACCCTGTCTCTTCCTGAATCTACTGCTGTTCCCTCAGACCCCCTTAAACATGCGCAGCACTCGGGTTTCACAGGCCCCCACGGCCCGCGCCCGCGCCCAGGTTGAGAGTCGTGGTGCCAGGTGTTCCCTGAAGGCCCCTCATGCGACCTAGAAGGTTTACCTGGTCTCATGCACGACCACCCCGGGATGCTTGGAAAACAAAACGTTTTTTTTAACCTGTAAACAATGATGTCCTAGAAGGAGGGCCTGGGTGTCACACCAATGGTTAAGCACTCTGCTAGCCAGAACGTTAGCAGTGTGAACCCACCCAGAGGCACCTCAGAAGAAAGGCCTGGTGATCCGCTTCTGAAAGGCCCCAGCCGTGAAAGCCCCACGGAGCACACTTCTACTCTGACGCACAGGAGGTGGCCATGAGTCCGAGTGGACTCGGCAGCGCTAACAACAATAACAACATCGTAGAGAAGTGTCCCTGTCCTTCATGAAGGATGCCTCTCTGGTTTGCAGTCCTGGAGTGTTGCCTTCACGTGGCCTGTCTAGAACTTTCTATGGAAACCTTTTGTTTGCACGGCCCCTAAGGGCTGTGGGACCAAACCTCGAAAGTACTGTTGCCCTGTAGAGCATTGGAGATGCGGCTGGGGTCCTTGGTTCAGGACACACTGGAATGACCAAAGAAAACCACGTTCCGGGCCCAGCTGAGCCCCCGTGTCCGCCCCTCGCCCGCACTGGGTCCAGCTGAGCCCCCGCATCTGCCCCTCGCCCGCTCTGGGTCCAGCTGAGCCCCTGTGTCCGCCCCTCACCTGTGTTGCCATTAATTGCCAAGGTCTCTCTCCCCGTGGAGGTCCGAACCTCCACACGTTCCCAGACCAGTGGCACTGATCATTCTTGGGTGTTCTGGGAGTTCACCGAGGGGCAGGGTGGTGTCCACCTCTCTCCTGGGTGGCACCCAGAAAGCCAGCAAGAGCAGTAAACCCAGATCTCCGCCACCTGAGCTCCAGCACTGGGAACTCAGCTCTCACAGCCGCTTGCCAGAGAGAGCACAAAGCCAGGCCCATGTTGTGGAAAGTGCTTCTTTTTCTGTGTGAAGCAATGACCGAACAGCCAGAGCTGCTTTTCCTTCCCCGGGAAGGAACCCTGTGGTGCCGTGGTTAAGCGGTTGGTTGGTGACCCAAAGGTTGGTGGTTCAAATCCACCCGGCAGCTCCTCGGGGGGAAAAGACCGGGGGATCTGCTCCCCTGTGGATCACAGCACACAGAACCCTATGGAGCAGTTCTCCTCTGTCACATGGGGGCCCTGTGAGTTGGAATCGACTCCATGGCACCCAACACCCGGACACTGGATGTTTTGAGCAGTCCAGCTTTCTGTGTAGATCCGGGGATGGTAGCCTGAGCCAGCACAGACAGGAAGGAGGGAGGTGTCCGTGGGAGGGTCGCTGTCCAGGACTGCCACTGCCTTATTCCGCCACTTAGAAGTCTGCCCAGCCCTCCCGTGCTCTCCTGTGTGGATACGAACATCAGAATAAATTGTGTCCTGCTCATATTTGGCTGCTGGTTGTCCTCTGTTGCGAGTTCCTAGGTGGGAGGCCTGGCATGGGAAACGTCACCTTCCTGTGGTCATGTGAGACACTGTCCCCAAGGCTGTGACCATCGGTTCTTGGGGACCAAGAAAATCTTAGATATTACAGTGGTGTGTGGCTCTCCAAAGGACCCCAGTACATGAATAGATACCCAGTATATTGGTGGTATTGAAATTTCCTATGGGGGTGGTGGTTCGATGGTAGAATCCTTGCCTTCCATGCCAGAGACCTGGGTTCAATTCCCAGCCAGTGCCCCTCATGCGAAGGCATCAGTCATCTGTCAGTGGAGACTGCATGTTGCTCTGATGCTGAACATGTTTCAGTGGAGCTTCCAGACTAAAACAGACTAGGAAGAAAGGCCTGGCGATCGACTTCTGAAAATCAGCCAATGAACAGCCTATGGATCACAACGGTCCAATCCGCAGCCGATCGTGGGGATGGCGCAGGACCGGGCAGCGTTTTGTTCTGTTATGCGAGGGGTTGCATGAGTCAGGGGCCAACTCGATGGCAACCCACAACAGCGGGGGAGGGAACAGCTAGGACAGAGCTGTCTACAAAAGGCTTTTTATTTCGGGGAGCGATGGTGTAAGAAAAGCCAAACCTGTTGCCGGTGAGTCGACTCCGACTCATAGTGACCCTATAGGATAGAGTAGAACTGTCCCATAGGGTTTCCAAGCAACAGCTGGTGGATTCTAACTGCTGACCTTTTGGTTAGCAGCCACCAGGGCTCCTGAATCACTTAAGTGTTTGTTTTGTCTTCGAGTTACTTTCAGCATTTATCAAACAGAATTTTACCTCGCTGCCTCATTTGCCTTGTAAAAGAGAAGAAAACAGAAAACGTTTAATCAACTGCAGGACAGCCTTGGAAGGAAAATACAGAAGGGCGCCAGTGGTTGACCCTATGACAAACAAGCTCCGTGACCTTGGATCCATCAGGTATCCTTGCTGGGTGGCATCCAGCCGATTCTGACTCATTGTGACTCCCTGTGACAGAGCAGAACTGCCCCATAGCGTTTCCTACACTGTAATCTCTATGGGGAGCAGATCGCCAGGTCTTTTCTCCCTCGGAGCCACTGGGTGAATTCAAACCGCTAACCCTTGGGTTACTAGCCCAATGCTTAACCACTGCACCACCAGGGCTCCTATTCATCATATATAGATCCTAAGACCTTTTCTTGTCTGTTTGTTTTTACACGTGAAGAAATAGGATGGGACAACTTCATCTCAGAGGTCCCATTCCACAGTGGAATCTCATGGTGCCAGGTGCTACAGGAAACGGTGGATTTGACTAAGGGGTCGGTCTTTTGCAACATGGGCTGCACCCCATGTTCTGGGCTCGGGGGCAGATCGGGAAGAGGGTTGCCATGGACAGGCCACTGTTCGGCACAGCAAGGGTGACACCGAGGGAACACCAGGTCAGCCTGCAGGATCGACGGTGTGGAAAACGGGGGTGTGTTGTGACTTCTCGCCCCTAGAGGGCGCCGTGTGTCCATCGGAAGGGACGTACTTTTGGTTTTCAAAATGTATGTTCTTTGGGCAAGCTCTCTAAAGAAGCGTTAGTTTCTCACCAAGCTCACCATTTGATTATGCAAATGCACCTCAGCCCTCTCGAGGACCAGCTTTGGAATTCCAGAGCGTATGGGAGCCCTGGAGCCCTGGTGGCGCAGTGGTTAAGAGCTCAGCTGCTAACCAAAAGATCGGCAGTTCAAATCCACTAGCCACTCCTTGGGAACCCTATGGGGCAGTCCTACTCTGTCCTAGAGGGTCACTATGATTTGGAATCGACTCCACGGCAACGGGTTTTAGTTTATGGGAGACCTGCTGGCACAGTGGTTAGGCACTCAGCTGCTAACTGAAAGGTCAGCATTTCAAACCCACCCATCCGCTCCACAGGAGAAAAAGACCTAGTGATCTCCTCCCATAAAGATTACAGCTAGAAAACCCTGTGGGGCCGTTCTACCGTGCCCCATAGGGTCGCTATGAGTCAGGATCGACTCAGTGGCAATGGGATTGGAGTCCCTGGGTGGTGCAAATGGTTAACACGCTGGGCTGCTCACTGAAAGGTTGATGGTTCAAGTCCATCCAGAGGCACCTTGGAAGAAAGGCCTGGCGATCTTCTTTGGAACAATCAGCCATTGAAAACTGTATGGTGCAGTTCTCTGTCACGTGGGGTTGCTGTGAGTTAGAATCAAATCGATGCACACAACAACAACACGGGGTTTATAAACCATCCCTCTGTGGCTGGCTGAATATTGGTCCCCCCAAAACGTCCCCAACCTGTTCCCCAAACCTGTGGACTTGGTGCCTCAGAGGCACCCTGCAGATGGATGATGTGAAGGGTCTTGAGATGGGAGATGATCCTGGATCACCTGTGTGGCCCATGTGATCACAGGGTCCTCATCTGAGGGAAGCAGGAGGGACAGAGTCAGAGGAGGAGATGTGAGGACGGAAGCAGAGAGAGAGAGACTGGTAGATGCTCGCTGCTGGCTCTGAAGACGCAGGAGGGGCCACGGGTCAAGGAACACGGGGCGTCTAGAAGCTGGAAAAGGCTGGAGATGGTTCTCCCCTGGAGCATCCGGAAGGAACCACCCTGCTGACACCCCCATTGTAGGACTGATTTCTCCTGGTTTGTTTGTCCTTTAATTCTGTTTGTGGTCATTTTGTCATACTAAATGAACTTTAAAATTTTTGGTTTGGGTTCCAATTAGTCTTTTCCTTGATGGTTTCTTCCCTTGATACAAAACAAAACAAAACAAAACAAAACAAAAAAAAAAACCATTGCCGTTGAGTCTATTCCAACTCATATGACAAGCTTATAAACATGGACTGGGAAAGGTGTTGCTATAAATACTTACCTCTATTTACTTCTGGTTCTCTATGGTTTTCTCTTATATATATGTACTAAATTCCAGATAAACTAGAGAGTTAAATTTCCATGTATGATGAGAGGTAAATCTCTAACGAAATTTTTTTTTTTTACTTTTAAAAAAATGTGATAAAATATATCTAACATAAAATTGGCCACCTCAACCATTTTGAAGTGTACAATTTCCTGGCACTAATTAACAATGTTGTACAGCCATCACCTCTACCTATTTCCAAATTTTTTCCATCACCCCAAACAGAAACTCAGTGCCCCTTAAGCAATAACAACCCCAAAATCCCCCCCGTCGGTCGGCACTAATCCACTTTTTGTGTCTACGTATTTTCCTGTTCTAGACATTTCACATAACTGAGATCATACAGTAT